AATTAAAATAAAACATAATAATAAAGTAAAAAACTTATTTATCAAAATAAAAAAATAATAAACCATATTCTAAAACAAATAAATTAGCAAGAAATAGTAACAAATACAAGCATACCAGGCAGATTCAAAAATAGCAAAAAATTAGCAAGAATATATAAGCATGCCAGGCGGATGATGAGATGAACAAATTAAGTCTCACGTCCCAGAAAATTCTCCAATTAAATATATGCAAATCATGCCCTCACCGTGCGAACTTAAACAAATCAAGCATACCACTACGGTTTTTTACAGCAACATTATTTTTATTGAAAGATACAAACACTACTCTCCCTCACCGTTTTGCTTGCTGCTGTGTTGGTATTGCCTGGAATCGTAAGGTTTTGAAGTTTGTTTAATATTATCTCGAATTAACAAACTAATGCTCAAACAAATAGTTCACACTTCTTTCATTTTTTAAGAAGCACAATATGACATATTGACATCCATGAAGGTGGGCATGGGGGACAACCTATCCCTTAAAATTAAGGTTTTGAAAGAAATTAACAATGAATGTAAAAAGGCATACAGTTTTAGTACACAGAAGAAAATGGGGTAGGACGAGGGGGCATAGGAACTTGGACTACTCCTTCAAGCATTTGAGTGACCTTTCTCATGGAGGGTCTTAGAGAGGGATCTTCTTGTATGCACCAAATTGCCACCATCACTAACCTTTCCACCTTTGTCATGTCATCGATTGCCTCCTCATCGTTCTCCACCACCCTATCCAATCTTCTCTCTAAATAGCAATCCCAGACCCAATCTGTTAGTATCACTTCTTCCTCATTTTCTCGTTCTACTTCATAGTTTTTCCTGCAGCAAATGATCTCCAATAGCATCACCCCATAACTATAAACATCAACCCTTGTTGTAATTGGTGTGTTCCGGAACCATTCAGGAGCAACATATCCCTTCGTGCCTCTAGTTGCTGTCATGGTGCGAGTTTGGTCGCTCATCAGAAGCTTTGCTAATCCAAAGTCAGAGATTCTTGCAGTGAATGAGTCATCCAAGAGTATGTTTTGAGGCTTAATGTCGCAGTGGATAATGGGTATGCTGCACTCCTCATGCAAATACACTAGTCCTCTTGCAATCTCAAATGCCATTCGAGTGCGACTCTTCCATTCAGGTCTACAATCTCCATACAAGAGACTAGCTAGTGTTCCATTGCTCATGAACTCATAGACCAAAAGCTTGTGAGGCCCTTCCTCACTGAATCCAATCAATGTTACTAAATTCTTGTGATGAATTTTGGCAACTGCATTCACCTCTGTTTTGAATTCCTTCTCACCGTCTTGCATTAACCTGTCTAATTTTTTCACAGCAATAGAAATTATGGAATGTGGAGGGCGTAAAACACCTTTATACACAATTCCAAAAGCACCTCTCCCGAGTTCTTCCTTGAACCCATCTGTGGCTTCCTCAAGATCTTGGTAAGTAAAAGACCGTAGGTTACTTTCCAAGCTATTTGACATTTGATGCGGTTTCTGTCTCCTATTGCAGGACCTGATAGCTAGTATGGAGACTGCAGTTAGGAGCAGGAAATTGATCAATGCTGAGCCACCTAAAAGAAATGATCCCATCAAAATTGTACTTGATTGATCTTTCTTCTGCAGTAGAGGCCCATTATGTCTTGCTACCTTTATAAATGCTTTGCCATCGATGCCCCTGTTCACCATCCCATTTGTAAGCGGCAGCTTCTTTTTCGAACATAATCCTCCTTCGAGTTCAGCAACCACACATAGACAATCATAGAGACAAGATTGCCTACATTCATCTTCATTTGAGTGCGTTCTTTCAAAGGCTGCAGACGTCGGCCAGAAGGTGTTCGGTAACGGACGCATATCATACAAATCCTCTGCTTTTGAGAGGTCCGGATTGCATTCCTGTATCCTGTCCTGAATGCACCCATTGAACTTGTTGTTTGGATCGGAGAAACTGAAGCCAGGGAGGCATTCACAACTCGGCCGTAGATTACTGCCAATTGTACAGTAGCTGTTAAAGCCACAAGAACCAGGTCCCTCAATATAAAGGTCTCCAACTCGGCGATTGCTATTCGTTCCATTACAAATGTCAGAAGGAATGGACCAGGCAATGGACCAGGACTGATCACCTTGCCCAGCTCTTTGAGAGTTGGGATAAGAATACATTGTGAAAATTCCATCAAAATCAAGTGTTGCTCTATAATAATCTTGGGAAGCTACCCTGTCCCCCGTTAGGTTACGAATCTCCCCACTACTTAGGACAATGGAGATGTAGTTTGGTTCATTGAAAACTACCTTTTGACCATAAGCATAAGTGTTGCTGATGTAGTAAGCATTATACGCAAATGAATTTGCTTTGGGCAAGGAAAAGGTGTTCAGCACAAGGTTACCATCTGGTAGCATGCGGAGCTGGAACCTTCCCGTTGAGTAATTGCTTGGCGTCTGTTTAGAACATAGCATTCCACCAAGCGGTAGTTCTTGAGTTGGCAAAAGGGTGTCTGTAGGGTTGTTGAAACTCTCCCATGCGTAAGCAAGATCTTCACGAACAATAACAAAGTTACCGGTGTCTAGCAAAGCAGCATAAGCAACCCCCTGAACGGAATAGGCACTGCCATTAACTGTGGCGTTCCAGATTGGGCCATCTGGGGAAGTTAATGTGAGTTTGCCATCTCTAGTAAGCTCAACCTTTGATCCCTCTGATACCGGATTATCTCCGTTTGCATACCAAACAGTTGTTCTATTGGGAATATTGTCGAACCAAATGGCCAGCAGGAACTGGTCTTGATTCTGAAGCTGGTAAAATCCGAAGGCAAAATGACCAGAAGGAGATTTCCATGAAGGTGAATCTTTAGAAGCCACAAGGTATGATCCCAAAGTGATATTAGATGTCTGAGAAACAACAAATGCTGGAAGAAGCAGCAGTAAGAAGAAGAGTTGGGAGAGGGAATTAAAAGCCATTGCTGTTGGAGTGGTTCTACGAATGCGGAGAGATATTAATAGAATGAATGGCAGCATATTGTCATAGGAAAAAGAATGCGGTTTTCTGTGGACGCGGAAAGAGATTTGTTCACTAAATATTTGTTCACTTAAGTAAATGCCAGACTGGCTGCGTTAAACAACGGGAGGGGGAAGAAGGGCATCCCTCTTAAATATTTGTTCACTAAATTCAATTCAATAACTTATTATTATTATTTTTTTTTTTGAACAATGGAAATTTTTTCTTAGGGGGATGGGGAAGGGGAATTGGGATTGAACCCAAGTTTAACTAGTACTAAGCACGTCCTGCCTTGCAAGGAGGTTCAGTTGGCCTCTAAGTGCTGGACAATTTAATAACTTATTTGTTTTAATAAAAATTTAAGAATTTAATTAAAATTTTAGAATAAATTTATAAGTCAAGGTTTTGTTTATTCTCTATTATATTTAATGTAAACTGATACGTAAATTCACTCTAATAAACACATTAATTGCCCCAAATAATATAATAATTAATAATTAATAAAATGTCGAATTGATTAAATATCTAAAATAATTAATTTAATATTTATTTCTTTAACAAATTTGTAAAGAATCGGATTTGAACCGTTATCCAGTGAAAAGAAATACACTTTATGGATAAGTTGAGGCCATTGAGCCGAAAGTTCGAGTGTAATATTTATTTATTTATTTTAAAAAATAATAATTATATTGATAATATTAGTATTTCTTAAAAATAGGGGAGTGTTAAACTTGAAAATGAATTTCACATAATCAAGGATGCCATCACTTTGTTTCTCAAGAAAAAAAAAAAAAACATGATTACTTAAGCTGCACGAGTGAATAGTTAATATTTATTGAAACAATGGAGAAAGAAAGAAATTTATAATTAAAAATAACTGAAAGAAGATAATAATTAAAATAAATGTAACCAAGGTATAAAATACCAAAATATTTGATTTCATCATAGTTAATAAATATAAAATCAAAAGTAACATACTTGTAAAACTAATTAATTGAGTGTAATTAAATGTTATAGCGGGTAACCTTAAATTAACTAATTAAATCTTTTTTATGATAATTAATTAATTTTCTTAAATAAGTTAAATATTTTTTATGAATTAAATTAATTATATTTTTATATAATTTAAAATAAATTAATATTACTTTAAAAAAAATAAAAATAATAAGAAGCAGCAGTAAGAAGAGGAGTTGGCAGAGGGGATGAAAAGGCAACGCTGATGGGCGCAAAGAAATTTATAGAATGCAGGGATGAAAAGGCAACGCTGATGGAATGGGTCTACGAACGCGCAAAGAAATTTATAGAATGCAGGTATGAAAAGGCAACGCTGATGGGCGCAAAGAAATTTATAGAATGCAGACCCGCGTGTGGTCTAATGATGGCCACGTTACCTTTAAACAGTACGTAAGTTGTACCTATTTTTGAGATTTGATTTTCTTTCGGTATGATAGATATTAATATTTATCTAATCATCTTTTAAAGTAAAAAAAATAAAAAATTTATAGAATGAATGGCAGCGTACTGTCAAAGGAAAAAGAACGCAATTCTCTATTAAAATGTAAAATGAGCTTTTAGGACCTCATTTACTTAGAAAATTCTTGTACTGAGTACAACACAAGTGAATTCCATAGCCTGGTCAACAGAGAACTGCGTTCTTTGTCCTTTTAATTGACTTACCTTATCCCTTCTATCAAGTTAAGGGGGTCTTTGGATGGGAAAGAAATTTTTTCTTTTAAAATTCTCTCAATTTTTTTTATAAGGTTATTTATATATTTTTATATATTAATATTATAATAAAAAATAAAAGTCACATTTTTAATTTTTATTTTTTTAACATAATTCTCAATTTGTAAGATTTTCCTTCCACATATTTTGAAAGAAAAAAGTTTCTTTATAACTATTCTCACTTAACAACTTTCTCTATTAATTTTTTTTATATCAATTTCTTATTAAATATAAAAAAGTTAATAACTCAATAAAATTCTACCAATACTTCATCACAAAACTTAGTAACCTTTTATTGTATTTTTTAATTTTTCATACAATACTTTATTAATCATTTTCTCATTAAAAAAAAAATCTTGATAAAGTTATATTTTAACTAAACAAACCCTAAGAGTAAAATAAAGGCGAAGTTATTGGCGTATAACTTGTCTTTCAAAAAAAAAAAGAAAAACCATGCAAAAGAGTAATCAAAACTAATAAAGTGTCACTCGTAATCATGGACATGGACATAATTAAAAGGCTGAAATGATTAGCAAGAAATAGCTTGGCCAGAAAATAAGAAGCAAGAATTATCCTCAATTAGCAAGAAATAGTAACAAATGCAAGCATACCAGGCAGATTCACATATATATAGCAAAGAATTCTCAAGAATATACAAGCATAGCAGGCGGATGATGAGATGAAAATTTTCTGACGTTTCAGAAAATTCTCCTAATCAAGCATACCACTATGGCTGTTTACAGCAACATTATTTTCATTGAAAGATACAAACACTCCTCTCCCTCAGCGTTTTGCTTGCTGCTGTGCGTCGGTATTGCCTGGAATCTTAAGGTTTTGAAGTTGTTTTAATGTTACCTCAAATTAACAAATTTATGCTCAAACAAATATATAGTTCATACTTCTTTGATTCTTTTAGAAGCACAAGATGACATATTAATATGCAAGAAGGTGGACATGGGGAACATATCCCTTAAAATTAAGATTTTGAAAGATATTAAGAATGAATGGCAAAGGGGCATGCAGTTTTAGCATAAAGAAGTAAAAGGGGTAGGACATGGGGGCATAGGAACTTGGACAACTCCTTCAAGCATCTGAGTTACCTGTCTCATGGGGGGTCTTAAAGAGGGATCTTCTTGTATGCACCAAATTGCAATCATCACTAGCCTTTCCACCTTTGTCATGTCATTTATCGCCTCCTCATCATTCTCCACTACTCTATCCAGTCTTCTCTCTTTATAGCAGTCATAGATCCAATCTGTTAGTATCACTTCATCCTCATTTTCTCGTTCTACTTCATACTTTTTCCTGCAACAGATGATCTCCAATAGCATCACTCCATAACTATAAACATCAACCTTTGTTGTAATTGGCCTGTTCCGGAACCATTCTGGAGCAACATATCCCTTTGTGCCCCTGATTGCTGTTGTGGTGCGAGTTTGGTCACTCATCAGAAGCTTTGCCAATCCAAAGTCTGAGATTCTTGGAGTGAATGAGTCATCCAAAAGTATGTTTTGAGGCTTAACGTCGCAGTGGATAATGGGTCTGCTGCACTCCTCATGCAAATACACTAGTCCTCTTGCAATCTCAAAAGCCATTTTAGTGCGACTCTTCCATTCAGGTCTACAATCTCCATACAAGAGACTAGCTAGTGTTCCATTGCTCATGAACTCATAGACTAAAAGCCTGTGCAGCCCTTCCTCACAGAATCCAATCAAACTGACCAAATTCTTGTGATGGGTTTTAGCAATTGCATTTACCTCTGCTTTGAATTCCTTCTCACCTTCTTGCATTAACCTGTCTAATTTTTTCACAGCGATGGGGATTATTGTTGAATGTGCATATCGTAAAACCCCTTTATACACAACTCCAAAAGCACCTCTTCCGAGTTCTTCCTTGAACCCATCTGTGGCTTCCTCAAGATCTTGGTAAGTAAAAGGTCGTGGATTACTTTCCAAGGTGCTTGAAATTTGATCTGGTTTCCGTTTCTTGTTGCAGGACCAGATAGCCAATATGGAGCCTGCAGTTATGAGCAGGAAATTGATAAATGCTGAGCCTCCTAAAAGAAATGATCCCACCCGAATCACACTTGATTGATCTTTCTTCTGTGGTCCAGGACCTTCAGGTCTCGGAAAACTAGAAGCATTAATAGATCTTGCTACCTTTACGAATGCTTTGCCATTGAATCTGTTGGTCACCATTCCATTTGTTAGCGGTAGTTTCTTCTTCGAACAACCTCCTTCTCGAAGTACAGCAACCACACATTGGCAATCATAGAGACAAGATTGCCTACATTCATCTTCATTTGATGGAGTCCATTCAAAGTTTGCAGACGTTGGCCAGAAAGTGTTTGGTAACTCATGCATATCATACAAATCCTCTACTTTTGAAGGGCCCAGATTGCATTCCTGTATCCTGTCCTGAATGCACCCATTGAACTTGTTGTTTGGATCGGAGAAATTGAAGCCAGGGAGGCATTCACAACTCGGCCGTGCATTACTATCAATTTTACAGTAGCTGTTAAAGCCACAAGAACCAAGTCCCTCATTAAAGTCCCCAGTTGGGGGATTACCATTCACTGCATTACAAATGTCAGGGGGGATGTTCCAAACAATGGCCCAGGACTGATCGATAATGCCAGTTCTTTTAGGTTTGGGGTAGGCATATTCTCTGAAAATTCCATCAAAATCAAGTGTTGCTCTGTAATAATAATCCTGTAAAGGCACTATCTCACCTGTTGTCAGGTTAAAAATCTGCCCATTCCTTCGAACGATGTAGATGTAGCCTGATTCGTTGAAAACTACCCTGTAACCAGAATTGGCGCTATTATGTTCATCAAAAGTGCCGCTGATGTAATAGGCAGCATATGCATTTGCTTTGGGTAGGGAAATCGTATTAAGAACGAGGTTACCGTCTGGTAGCAAGCGGAGCTGGAACCTTCCCCTGGAGTAATTGCTTCGCGTCTGTCTAGAAGATAGCATTCCACCAAGCGGCAGTTCTTGGGTTGGCAAAAGGGTGTCTGCAGGGTTCTTGAAACTCTCCCATGCATAGGAAAGATTTTTACCAACAAGAACAAAGTTGCCTGTGTCTAGAAAAGCAGCATAAGCAGCCCCATCAACAGGATAAGCAGTGCCATCATCCATGAATGTGGCTTTCCAAAGGATTTGGCCATTTGGGGAAGTTAGTTGGAGTTTTCCACCTACTGTAAGCTCAACCCTTGATCCCTCTGCCGCTGGGTTATCTCCGTTTGCATACCAAATAGTTGTT